CTGAGACCGGGCCCAGGGCCTGCCAATGGCCTGCCAGGCAAGTCCGGGACAACCGGAGCCGTGGCGAAGTCCACCCAACACCTCTCAGCAAGGAACACGGACCATGAAATCCAAACCAAGCAGCCCTGCCCCGGCTCTCTAACGGTTCTGGGGGCGCTCGGCCGTCGCCCCGTTCGAGTGCCCGGTGGACACAGGCTCCCCTCGCTGCCCGTCTGTCCTGACTCTCAAAGTCAGCAGGAATGCTGGTGGCTCAGACACAGGATGGAGGGCAAGGCAGGCACTGGCCTCCCCCCCTGCAGAACCCAGGGGTCACCGCCTTCCGCTCTCCAGGAAAATGGTGGGTGGGCCCCACAGGATTTGGGGAACCGGGGCCCAGGAAGCGGCGGCGCCCCGACTCACCACTTTGGGCTTGAAGGGCGGCTGGATCTCCCTGTTCTCCAGCTTCTCCCAGTCGATCCTCCGGAAGAAGGCGTGTTCGCGCACGTCCCGCTCGCCCTCGGGCCCGCAGCCCAGCCGCTTGCCCGGGTGCTTGGTCATCAGCTGGAAGCAGGAGAGAGGATCTAATGCATAACGTGCGACTGCAGTTGATATTAATGTGTTGTACGACTTAAATGTGCCAAGAGAGAAGAAGTAAGTGTTCTCTCTCCAAAGAAGAAAAACAAGTGACTCTGTGAGGTGATGGATGAGTTAGCGTAACTGTGGGATTCCTTTCATAAGGTCCCGTCACCCCTCCGTGTTCACGGGGATTAGCTCTAGGACCCCTCGTGGGTACCAAAACCCACAGATGCTCATATAAAAGGCGTAGTATTTGCATATAACCTGCACACATCCTCCCCTATACTTTCAATTATCCCCAGGTTACTTATAACACCTGATACAATGCAAATGCCATCTAAATAGCAGTTATACTGTATTGTTGGGAATAATGACAAGAAAAAAAAGTCTGTCCATGTTCAGCACAGACACAGCCATCGTAGGCCTCCCTCCATGGGTACAGGTCAGCCACCATGTCACTTTTTGGGGGGAATATTTTCGATCTGTGGTTGGTTGAATCTACGGATGCGGAACCTGTGGATACGAATGGCCAATGCATACATCTATCACGTCATCCTGTTGTTCACTTTAAATATATTACAATTTTATTTGTCTATTGTACCTCAATCAAATTGAGAAAGCAGAAAATTTCATTCACACGTTCCTCAAAACCCATGACCCAGAAGGCTCATGGCAGCCCCTCCCCAGAGAGCAGCCGACCGACCGCCCGCCAGCAGAATGCATACACAGAGGGTGGCACGTCCACTCGATGGAATACCGCGCGGCCGAGCGGAAGACGGGCTTCCACCACACGCAGCACCGTGGAGAGACCTCACCATCGCAGTGTCAGGGGAAAAGCCAGGCCCAGGGCGCATCCACGGCAAGATCCGCGTGTGCAAAGTTCAAAACGGGCACAGTGCACGCACGCAGTGACGCGTGGGGGTGACTGTCGGGCGGGACAGGGGCAGCCCTCGAGGTGCTGGGCACGCGTGTCCATTTTGTGACAATTCATTGGCCTGCACACAGATGACGGGCGCCCTTTTCTACACGTGTGTTACATCTCAAAAACAGAGGAATGGGCACAGCACTAACGGAGGTGTACAGCGGAGGAGAACTAACGTTTTCTAAGCGTCTGTGATCACTGCCGCTAAACTGTACCACAACTTCATGGGGAGCGGGGGGTCGGGGGAGAATGGCGAACTAAAGCTACTAAGTTTCCGGAGGTGTTGGGGTGTCAACCCGTGTCCCAGGCTCCGCGTTCCCCACCGCGCCCCGCAGGTCCCCAGGCCCTCGCCCGTGAAGGCGGGAGGCAGTGGCGGGGTCCCTGCGCCCACTTGCTGGGGAGTCTGGGAAAGATCGCCCGTCCACCCTTTCGGTCTGTGACCCTAAAAGGAACCCAGTGCACTCACTCCTTTGCAGATGGAGACGGCCTCCTTGGACAAGGATTTGGGGTAAGAAACGTTGTGCTCCATTATAGACTGAAAGAGTTCGTCCTCATCCTCGCCGTCGAACGGAGGCTGTTCCGGAAAAGAGGAAGATGGAGAGATATTTAGGCAGGTCGTTGATGAAGCTTTCATTTCCTTGCTCGCAGGTGGTATGCTTTCCGGTTTCCCTCTGCTCCTCTAACGATCTCTCCCTGGGCAACCCAAAACAATCTTTGAGAAAAGTGTTTCTGAGTAATGCTTTGTTTTTTCAAATAAATGATAATTAACCCATTAATCTTGCAATTATGTGTTAAAATGGAATTATGACCCAGTTAGGTTAGACCGGGGGTGGGCAAACTTTTTGACTCGAGGGCCACAATGGGTTCTTAAACTGGACCGGAGGGCCGGAACAAAAGCATGGATGGAGTGTTTGTGTGAACTAATATAAATTCAAAATAAACATCATTACATAAAAGGGTTCGGTCTTTTTTTTTTTAGTTTTATTCATTTCAAAAGGGCCGGATCCTTGCCCACGGCTGCTCTAGAGTGATGCTTTCTTAATGCAAATGCTGTGTGTTCAGAGGGTGGGGGTGGGGTGGAGGACGCTAATGCCTTTGGATTCTGAACATGGGGTGACGGGGACATCAGAACCCGGGCAAAGAGAACTTCCTTGGGTCCAGAATACACATCAGGGTCCCTCTGACCCAACACAGAGCTGCCCCCCGTGTGGTGGTGGTGACAGGAGCTCAGCTTCCACCCGATACCTCCCATCTTTTTCGGGGGCGGGGGGTTGCAGCTTCCTGTGGAGAGAGGGAGGCATGTGGCTCTGCGGGAGGCCCCGGATTTAAAGCCAGGCAGACGTAAACCAGAATTCCAGCTCCACCTCCTCCTAGCTGGTTGTCCAGAGACAAGTGACTTGCCTCCTTAAGACACGGTTTTCCAATCTGCAAAATGGGTTCCCTGGTGAGTCTGTAAAGTGCCTGATATTGTGTCTTGTATCCAGTAAGAGCCCAGTGAAGGGTGCTTAGCGGCACTGGTATTGTGATTCAGGTAGACGAGCTGTCGTTGGGGGCTGCTGGGGAGCCCAGGATGCCTCCAGCATGTCTTCAGTCCTGAGGTCAGCAAATCACCTGCCCTCTGGGCAACCCACAGCATGAGGGGGCTTAGGGGAACCTGCTTACCGTCCCCTTTAACTTAGCCATGAGCTCAGCACGCAAAAGGCAGACCAGGTTGGCCCTCGTGCAGAGTCCTATGTTTCATCTTTATGTTCCTTCTCGTTATAGGGAGGACTCCAGTCACTTTGGCTGACAGGGTTAGGGCTCAGATAATGACAAAGTCTGGCTTAAATTTAAACGATACCATGGACCAAAAACAACCGTGCGGTCCCTTCTCATCAAACATCTTCTCCCGAGTAAGAGAGTAGCTGAACTAAGCAGAGCGCTCCCCTAACCACCACTCACAAACCATCCCGAGCTGTTCATCTGGCCCCCACCTTCCTCCTCAGCCCCAAGCCCTGCCCTGAACAGGAGCTGGAAGCAAGGCCGGCACACGGGAGCCACACCGACAGAGGGAAGATGCTGAGCCTATAAAGGACCCCACTTTCGGACCAGGTATGGGGTGACTGATGCCACTCATGCTTTTTTGGTGTGTGTGTCTAAAAATAGAAATAAATAGGCCCGTTTTCCAGTTGAAAGTGCCCGGTGTTACGAACGTCTAACTTGGGGGAAGCGTGCAGGTGGGTGAGGAGAGCTGCCATTAGCCCGCCTGTGAGTGACTCAGAGCAGCGCAGGGGCAGCCTGCCCCATGTGGGGTTCCGTGGGCAGAAGTCACATGGCCCTGGGATGCCCACCTGGCAAACCCGTTGGAGGCAGCCACCCCACTGGGCAGTGCAGGCAGCAGATGGTGGCCGGGGCCAGCAGGGGGAGGTGCTACTTCTATCGACAGAGCAGGGCAGGGCGGTGGGCGTGAGGGTGTGGCTGCACCTGCAAGAGGGACAGTGGAGGCCAGTCCCACAGCCCATCCCACAGTCTTCTCGGCCCGATATCACGCAGCCTACTTCTCCCGACTGCCTGTTACATGACACCCACAGAACACCGCCTCTTCCCTAAAAATCGACCTCTACATGTGCCCGAGCTTTGGCTTAGGACAGTGGTTGGAAAACTGCGGCTTGCAAGCCACATGCGGCTCTTTGACCCCTTGAGTGTGGCTCTTCCACAAAATACCGACTTCTGCGCATAGGCCACAAAGTTTCAATCGCACTGTACGTGCACGCCCGCAGGTGGTATTTTGTGGAAGAGCCACACTCAAGGGGCCAAAGAGTTGCATGTGGCTCAAGAGCCGCAGTTTGCCGACCACGGGCCTAGGAGATCTTCATAACTAAAACAAACATGGTGTGGTTTCTGTGGGGGCTGTGGCTTGCACACCTGCAGGGGTCCCACTTCCTCGAATTCGCTATGTGTGGGTACCCTGCAATGTCCCAGTGCCCTGGAGGTGAGCAGGGCACAGGCTCTGCTCTGGATAACCAATCGACAACTCACACTGTGGCCCCTCAGGGCCGCTGGCCAGGACGAGCTACGTCACTGTGGGTCTCAGAGCCGAGGGAAGATGGGGGCCTCGTGAGGTAATTGTTAGAACGTCAAGGTGGCGACAGCAGAGCACCAGCCCAGCTATGCAGGTGTCTTCTGAGCTTGGGCCCATGTGACTGCATAGGCCCCGCCCGTGACGCTGGCCAGAGGTGGCCGCTGGTACCTGGCTGGACAGCGACAGACAGCAGGGATTCAACCAGCCTCCTTGGGGACGTCAGCACCAGCGCTGGAACGTGGCAGGGCTGAGCCACAGATGAGCCGGGCCACAGGCCCAAGAGAAACTTCCTCCAAAGAGATTACGTGCCCTTGACTAGGAATCGAACCCAAGACCCTTTGGTCCAGGGCCGATGCTCTGTGCCCTCCGAGTGAGGGCCACATATGCTAATTTGTTCTCAGGCGTTGAAGGCGGGGCAATGCTGAAAAGTTATATACGTGCCCTTGACTAGGAATCGAACCCGCGACCCTTTGGTCCAGGGCCAATGCTCTGTAACCTCCGAGTGAGGGCCACATATGCTAATTTGCTCTCAGGCGTTGAAGGCGGGGCAATGCTGAAAAGTTATAATTATTCATTTTCCTTCCCAGACACGCCAGCCACGGAGCCTGGGGACACCGGGGGGCAATGCGTGGCCTAGGGACTTAGGACATGACCACTTGGGTATTGCTTCGTTCCCCTCTCCCCCGCATTCCCATGATTGTTTCTTAAATTTCTACAGATCTGGACTCGGTGTTTCTGGCTGAGCTAATGTCCTGGCTTGGGGGTGCCTTCCTTGGCAATATGTAATTTGTGAATGTTAAACACACAAACGAGGGATGATGGATCCCTCTTTCCAAAATGATTCCGAAATCCCTCACCAGGAAGTGGTCACTGGTGACCAGGGTGGGGGAGAACTCAAGGACAATCAGGTGGTGTCCTGGGATAAAGCACCGAGCATGGATTGGCCAGGGATGAAGGCGAGGCATGGAGGGTCCTGGCAGAGGGCAGAGCAGGAGGGCGGGCCCTGGAGGAGGAACACCCGAGCGCCCTCGCTGTGCTCACGAGAGCGCCAGGGAAACACCAGTTAGGCCTGCAAGTAATCGTATTTGTCAGGCAATCTGGGAACCGCAGGCAGACTCCGCTGCGTATGCTGAACGGCCCCCCAGGCTGCTGACCATAAATAAAGCAAATGAGAAGGGAACTGCAAGGAAAGATTTTTCTGCTCATCGTCAGCTCTCTTGATTACAGAGGACAAATTTAGGCCACAACCCCACCAGCAACTTTATAATTAGTCTTACTTTTCAGTAACAGTGTGTATTCCCTCGGCTGGGTCTCCGAGTTCCAGCAGCTTTGGGGGGGTGGGTGTGGGCAATACACGTGGAGCCTTTATTATCCTTTGGGCTGAGTCACAGCCCAGGAATATGTTGAAATTTGCATCGAGTCAGAGAGGAAAACTAAGAAGTGGTGGTGGTGGTGGTGGGGGGGGGCGCTCTGGAATGAAAACACCGTGTTTGTGGCAGGAGCGGTGAAGGTCTAGGTCAGTGGTGGGGAATGTCTGGTCCTCGGGCCATATAAGGCATGCGAAATCATTTGGTCTGGCCCTGCCAAGGCATTAAGGTGAGTTAATTAATGTCTGACCAAATACAGCAGGCTGATTTTTAAATGGATCCTTTTGTATGGCCCGAGAATGATGTTATAAACATCCAAATGGCCCTTGGCAGATAAAAGGGTCCCACCCCTGGCTTAGAGGGATAGCGGCGGTGTCTGCCATTGTGCCTGAATGTGGGCTGCCTTGCGGTGCCATATTTAGAGTGTCACCGTTTTCAACGGAGATTATGGAAACTTCCAGAGACCATCCAAGGCAGGTTGACTGAGAGACGGGATGGAAAACCATGAAAATGGGTCAGAATGTCTATGGAGCCGCTGGGAGTGGGAGGACCCTGTGCTCTCTGGGGGATGAGGAAGGACCAGTCTGCAGGTGAGGCAGGACCTCACAATGTACCCCAGAGGGGACCTCCCTGGGGGAGCCAGCATTTCTCAGCTCTCCCTGCAGAGTGAAGACCCAGGAGGCCTGGAGGGGAAGGAAGACAGCCAATAAGGAGACAACTCCGTTCATGTCATGTAACGGGCCCTGGACCAGAGCCCATTTGCACCCTACAGTTTCCTTTGCTGGCATATGCAGACGGGCCTCTTCATGAAAGCAGGCTTGTGTGCTGGGCTGAGGGTCAGAACGTTCGACTGGGACCCAGGAGGGGAACTCAGGCCCTTGTGCTTTCAGGAGCAGCCCGGCTCTCAGGGGCCAAGAATTCAGCCCAGTTTCACGGTCAAACTCCTAAAGGGGGAAGTTAACTTGAGGAGCAGGAGACGTGGGTTCTGCCAGCTGTTGTCTTCCTGACAGTTGTTCTGCATAACCTGCTTTTCTGTGTTTACAAATGGAAGTATTGGGCCTGAAACCAACATTGTACTGGGGATGAAAACCTAAATAATACACAGACAGCTTTTTAAAATGTCAATCAAGTCTTACCATCCCTGAGAAATAATGACCATGTGAAGGCTGGTACCTTCTATCATTTAATATCCAAAAGACTAGTATTAAGACGTGCAAGATGCAATGAGAGAGACATAAAGGACCGATCACCAGTGGCCTCCCACCCCGAGTCTAAGCCAGTGGTCTGCAGGGGCCTCCCTGCACACATGGCCTGGTGCTCCCCTCCTCTCTGACCGCAGGCCTCCTCTCCTACTCCCTCTCCAGCCTCCCGACTCTGCTCCAACCACACTGGCGCTTCCCTTCCTTGGCTTAATAAACACGGCAACATAATCCCACCCCAGGGCCTTTGCACTTGCCATTCCAGTCCCTCTGCCTGGAGTGCTTTCCCCCAGAGATGCACACAGACAGACATTCCTCATTTCCTTCTCGTCTTAACTTTATTTGTACACAAGGCCCTCCTCGGCCACACTAGCTAAAATGTCAATCCTGCCCCAACACTATGTTCTTGTCCTGCTTTGTTACTTTTCTTCTTAGCTTTTCAACTATTATATAGTCCTTTTTTTTTTTTAACATGTCTACTGTCTCTCTTTCTTTATACTGTAATCTTGATGAAGGTATAGGTCACATTTGTCCATGGCTATTACCATAGTAAGCGTGCGTTCAATAAGTATGTGTTGAATGAATAAACGACCAAGTCCATGGATGTAACTTGTCAGAAAGGGTTGACTCCCTCCCCCGTCCCCCTCGAAACAAAGATTTCTTCGGGGGTAGCTCTGCTGCTCAACACAAGCATTTCTTTCCATTCTCTTACCTCGGGCTCTTAGTGACGGAGGGTTCAACTCCTTGTCACCAGTACTTGAGTGCTGGCAACTATAAAAGCCGCCTCCACAGAACGGTTCTTAGGTATAATGGCAGAGACCTGGTAGCTGCTCCCCGAACCTCCTTCTCCTTGCCGGGCTCACAGGTACATGCCCCTCTCAGCCCTGCATCTCAGCGGGGCTGTGTGGCCCGTGGGGTGCAGGGGCCCCTAGATGTTCCTGCCTCTGTCCTCCTGCCCCTTCCTCATTGGCCGGTTGAATAATGAGGAGTCAGTGGAGGAATTCAAGGCCCTAAAAGGTGGAGCCAAGGGACGGAAG